GGGGGTACGCTGACGCGAGCGTGTGCCCGCCGCATGGGGGCCTCGTCGCGTCGATTAGCTTATCTCCCTGCTTAAATTTATCCTTTGCACATTCTTGAAAATAATGTTAAGCGCCATTTTTTACCCTTTTCTTATTTGCTTTTGAAGTCTTGCACGGTAATCGCATGTTCATTTCGCAAAATGGACGTGCGCTGGAAACATTCCTGGACAGGGCCGGCGATTTTAGGGGGGTCGGTCTGGAGCACTCCATATATGCAAATTTCTAAGCTGTGGAATTCCATACATGGACGAGGTATGGATTTCCATAGCTTTATTTCTCGTCAGAAGTAATAGTGAGAACAAGAATGGAAGGCTTCATTCAATTCCGATGGACTAATCGACGATTAAGTTAATCGGCGTTGGTAACAGTCGCCCTAAGTTGCAGAATCTAGTATTCCCTAGAGACCCTGTAACAGAGTTACGCCAAGCCGGGCCTAACTTCTGATTGGTTCTCTACCTCGGTCCATTCGGTATTCTTCGGATAGCTTCGTACATTGTCAGAAAATGACAGAAAACGAGTTCGGAACGAGTTCGGAGAATAGAAAGAGACAGATAGCTCTAATCAGGGAGAAAGCAATATCTGTTATCTCCGGTCCGCCTTTGCGTAACTCTATTACAGGATCTCTAGTATTCCCGAGTCTTCAGAGTTCAGTTCAGACTCTTTCTGGATTATATAATCACTGTAACAGAATTTTGCGATGGACAGATATGTTATTCGGCGACCCAAAAGTGATGATAAAAACGAAAATACAGTATGTCGAAATTTTTCTCTGAATAGAAACTGATTAAATACTGATATGTCATAAATACTTTTCTATCATAATCTATATCATAACCTCCGTTTTATCTATTTATTAGACATCTGAGAATCTTAGTAATAAACGAAGTCCCTCCTCTTATTCCTCGAATAAGGACTCTCCTTCTTTTAAAGCTGCTAATAGTACTACAACCATTGATTCTTTCGTTCATTCTAAAAATGGAAACTGTAGGGAGATACAATTTGCAAAAGGTGAGGCGATCGATGTTACAAATAAAGGCGAAGATTCAAAACAGATTTGTAAGTTGTTTTATAAATTTTATCGTTTCTAATGATGTAGTTGTATTTCTAAAATATCAATGAAATTATTCAGTATTTAAAGCCGGTTCTTTTATTGTCAGATAAGTTATAGCCGATTAATATTTGCTTATAGGTTATGTTTATTTGTGTTTTATATTTGAACGTCTTAAGATAGTTCTTTCACGAAAACAGCCCGATTAAAAACTTTTTAAAATATGTTGAAGAATATTTACATGTTTATATTACAGTGAAGTATTAGGGCCTAAGCACAATTGAGGAACAGGAATTAGATATTAAGATTTCAACCTATCAAAAGCTGATTACATCGGAATACACGGTTTCTGATAGGTTGAAATATTAATATCTAATTCTTGTTCCTCTATTGTGCGCAGGCCCTTAGTCTTATTTATAGTTATTCACTAATATCAAAATTTAATTTTTGATATAATATTATATCACAGTTTAAGATTGCATTTCAAGACTGAACATATTCCAGGACGTAGATTACAGAACTGGATATGTATATATTCACCTATATATGTATGTATAAATTAATGTATTTATGTATGTATAAATTTATCAAAATATTATTTAGGCACTAAGATCCAACTCAGACTGATAAGGACTTCTCATTACTTAGTTGTTTATTCACATTTAATGTCATTTATTGTGTGTGAAATAAAATTAGATCAGTTACCAGGTCTCACAAACTAATGTATCAATTTTAATTAATATATACGATTATAATTCGAATGTGTATTACGGCTAC